CACTTTTGTGTTGCGATCGACGACACATGGTTTCTTCTTGGGCCCCTCAACAATTGAAACACATGCGCACTTGCACAAATTCATAGCTTAATCTTAGGCTTGCTTACAGTGACACCTATTTAATTAATTGTTCCAATTAGTCATCTGAAATACTAGCCCACTTTTCTAGTGGCACTTAGAGATTAGGATTTATCTTTATTTGCGTTTATCATTCATATGATTGTGTGGGCTACCTTGTATGGGATTTCTTTACCATTTTATTTATCGTTTTTCTTTTATTTTGCTTGCTTGCTTATATCTTGTCTATTGCATACTAATAAATCAAACCCCTGCATTCTCGGTCTGTATACCGAATTATAATCAATTTGATAAATCGAGTTTACTTTGCAATCGCAATCGAACTCCTCTGATTCTCTATCACCCCTTTCATAAATAAAGTTTCAAACCTCGATCCAACGTCGATTTTCTTTTTAAAACCTCTTCTCAATAAAACATGGAAAAGATGGTTTGGACGATTCTATCCCCTCCTTCTCAAGTGTCTGGGTTATTAGTTCTTTTTCAACTTATGATCCTATACTTGGCTTCCTCAAACTAATCTTAATTAAAAGAACATTGTTTCGCCTCACCTTATCTTAATAAAACCTTTTAGGATGAAAAAGATGGTCAGGATGATTATGTCCCCTCCATTCGAGTACTTGGAGTATTAGTCGTTAACACTTATGATCTGATGTTTGTCTTCCACATAAAAAAAATCTCAACTCATTCAAATCTTTTGTCGCTTGACTTTTCAATTCAAAACCTTTTCAAAACGAGTTATATCCCGTCCATTCATGTGACGATGAAACAATGTTCCTTACACATGTGAATGTCGAGCCTTTCCCACTCGAATGCGATGATGGAAAGAATTTGTGCATATCCAGACTCAGTTATCCATTCTTGAAGCAATGCAATCGTTCTATTATCCATGTTTCGGGCAACAATGTTTTCATTAGAATGTGAACAAGTATCTCTCACTAAAACGAACCAACCCACAAATATTTGTTACCCGAATTACGACACTCTGATTTTCTTATTGCACTATGAGAATACGTAGGCATGTGGTTTTGAAACCAAGGCGAGTAAAATAATAAAAAAGTCCAAAAAAAATTCTCCATTCTTTCTTTTCTCCTTTCTCTCTTAATAATTAGAAGAATGCAAACTCTTACACTAACACTCGAATGCATAAGTAACTAAATGGATACCATCGAGTACGATGGATGTGAGGGGTGTTAATACCTTCCCCTTGCATAACCGACTCCAGAACCCGTTCATGATTGCGATAATCGTGTTATCCATTATTCTTGGGTTTTGTCGATATTTTCCCATTTCTTTAGAACAAAATAAAAGTTTGATGGTGACTTCATTGTTCGAATATTTTTCGAGGCGCTACACAGGCCATTTTACTCAGGAGGTGGAAGTTGTGAGGCTAGTAGTAATGCAGAGGATAGTGTTCATGAAGAGAATAAAGAAGAACAAGAGAAATAGGGGGAGTGAAAAAGGTGAGGAAGGAAGTGAAGAAATGATGAGTTAAGAAGTGATTAGTCTTCTGCCACATTGACCACCAACACTGAATTTAATTTGTTTTACTTTATCATTTTATTAGTTAATTTTGTTACTTGTTGAAAATTTTATGCAAGTATATGTATTTTACTAAAAAATACCATGGATAAGAGGAATTCATACATGTTGGTCATTTTGTACTAAGTACATGAACGTGTTAAGTTTCCAAAACATGTGAGCATCTGTTAAGACCTTAACTTTGTTGAATGCGTGTGTGTATTTTTTTATCGGAAATTAACATTTTCCTTTATTGTGACTAATTTACTTCCTAAATTAGAATATTAGTAATTGTGAATTGTAATTACCCATTAGGAATTGTAATGACTGGTAACTGCTAACACTACTATATATAGTGTGAAATACAATAGAGAAAGAGGTCAAGCCAATTTTCAGTGCATGGTATCAGAAGGTTCGATCAAACAAAATATGTGAAATTGTGTTACCTTGGCCTTGTCCAACAAATCCCATTGGGTTGCTCTTGGAATTGTTTCTTCCATTCCCGTTTGTTATCGTTTCGAAATTATTTGTTAAAAAAAATTGCTTTGACTCTGGTGGTGAGTACATGTCTAATGAGTTTCAAGAATACCTTCAACAAAACTGTATCTTGTCTCAACGATCTTGTTCTAATACCCCTCAATAAAATGGCAATGGCAGAATGTAAGAATCGTCATTTGCTTGATGTAACACAGACCTTACTTCTCCAAGCTTGTGTATCATCCCGATTTTGGGTGGAGGCTCTTTCCATATATATCTTCTTGATCAATCGTCTTTCTTCTACGGTTATTGATATTGATTCTTCTTTCTTTTATCTTTTTGAAAATCATCACGATTACAGAGATTTACATACTTTTAGGTGTGTGTGTGTGTGTGTGTGTGTTTTATTCACTTACCTCCATTTGAAAAGCATAATCTTGGAGCACAATTTGTTTAATGTACCTTTATGGGATATAGTCACTCTCATAAGGACTTTGTGTGTTATGATGTCTTTAACCATCGTTTTTGCATTTCTAGGAATGGGATGATTTTTTATAATCAGCTTATGTTTCCCTATGTTTCTACCGCCATAAATGATATTGTTATTCTTCCTAAATTTTCTATTATGCCTCAAACTATAGGATGTTATAAACTGGGTCACGTGTATGTCAGAAATCAGAGACAATAGGTTCTCACACCCCTTCTCGACATTGAATTTCCACCTGATCATGTAAAGGTTGAACCACGATGTTCTGGTCGAATATCTCGAGCACCAGATAGATATTCACCATACATGTATGATTCCTCACATACTTCTTTGACTGCCACACTCTCTAGCATATATATTCCTACTTGTTACTCACAGGCTATAAAAGATGTGTGTTGGTTAAAAGCAATGAATGAGGAACTCCAGGCTCTTCAAGAGAATTTCACATGAAATATTGTCTCTTGTCCTTCTAATGTCAAACCCATTGGCTGTAAATGGGTGTATTCTGTGAAATTAAATTATGATGAATCCCTCAATTGTTACAAGGCTCGCTTGGTTGTCTTATGAAATAAGTAGGAATATGAAATTGATTATGATGAGACACTTGTAGTGGTTGCCAAAATGATAATTTTTGCACTGTAATATTTATAGCTGCTTCTAATGGATGGTCTCTTCATCAAATGAATGTGAAAAATGATTTTCTTCACGGTAACCTGACTAAAGACATTTATATGACACCTCCTCGAGACATGTTCTCTTTATCCAATGGTGTTTGCAAGTTTAAACACTCCTTATATGGTTTGAAACAAACACCTAGAGTATGGTATGAGAACTTTTGCTCGACTATACTTGGGTTCTCCTTTACTTAGAGTCAGTAAGATTCCTCTCTATTTATTCATAGCACATCTACGGAAATTGTCTTACTTCTTATGTATGTGGATGATATGGTTATTACTGATTCTGATCATGCTTCTATTCATACACTTAAATAACAATTACAGACTTCATTTCATATGAAAGATCTTGGTGAACTACGTTATTTCTTGGTCTTGAAGTTCATTCTACATCCAAGGCCATCTTTCTTCATCAACACAAGTATGCTACAAGTTTGATTTCTATGACTGATCTCCAATCGGCTTACCCGATCGATACTCCCCTTAAGTTAATGTTAAATATCATTGTGATAATGGTGATCTTTTATTTGATCTCTTATTGTATAGACAACTTGGGTGGCCTTAAATACTTGAATATTACACGCTCTGACATATCTTTTGTTATTAACAAGTAAGTTAATTCATGCATTCTCTTCTACATCTTCACTTAGTTATGGTTCATCGTATAATTTGTTACTTGAAGGGAACTTCTCATCATGGATCATTTTTTTCCACTAATTTTTTCCCTTCAATTGAGTGCTTACAATACAGTCAACATGTTGATTGAGTAGAGTGCCGTGGTACTCATCGATCTGTCACTGATTGGTGCATGTTTCTTGGTTCTTCATTGATCTCTTGGAAAAGTAAGAAGCAAGCAAGATTTTATAAATATTCTATTGAATCTGAGTATTGTACCATGTCTGCTTCTTGTTCAAAAATACTTTGGCTTCATGGTCTTTTGGGTGAACTTGGATTTCCCCAAACAAAGCCAACTTCACCTTATGCTGACAATACAAGTGTCATTCATATTATTGTAAATCCTATTTTTCATGAACGTACCAAACATATAGAAGTTGATTGTAATTCAAGATGTGACGCCTATGATGACCGACTCATATCACTTCCTCATGTCAGTACTCAATTGCAGATCACATATATTCTTACCAAGACTGCTCCACGCCCACGACATCAGTTTTTTGTTAGTAAATTGATGTTCTTTGACCAACCGCATCAACTTGAAGGGGGTGTTAATCAGAAATTAATCTTTACCTTTATTGTGAATAATTTATTTTCGAGATTAGAAGATTAATCATTATAAATTATAATTAGTCATTATAACTTGTAATTACTTGTAATTACCGACACTATTATATATAATGCAAAATACAATAGAGAAATGGATCGAGTCAATTTTTCAAGTACAACAGGTGAATGATGAAAGTTTGAGAGAACCCTCAAAAAGTTGTATGGTGCGCTAAGCGAAGTTTGCTGCCTTAGACATAAGCAGAAAATGAATTATAACTCTGTGCAATTCTTTTTAGAAGTCGAATACCTAAGGTTGAACTAGACCAAATATAATAGTGTGCCCTAATCCACCTCATTCTGAATTGACTCGAGGTGGAAAGTGTTTTTCAATACAGTCAACATGTAGCAAAACTTACTTATATGCAATCATTCCCCTCAAAGATCATCAACTATTCACTTTATTAAACTAAGCTAAAGCATAGCAAATTGGAAGCACCTCTTATCACAGAGAAAAGTATTACTTTGACTAAAGCATTTCATTCTCATCCCATAGTATAAGAAGGTGTTGGTAAGTTGATTATTGTGGTCTTAACTTTGGTCATCATGTTGATACTATTGGTGATTCCTTGAGAACCAATTCCACTTTCCTTCAAACCCTGCAACAAATCATATTTTCATAGTTTCAGAAACCTTTTATTATTCTTTCTTGTTAAACAAGTAAAGGATTATATAATTAGAGTATTGCACCTGAAAAGGGAAGTGATCAGGTCCACGAGCCGGGGCTGAATTAATTTGAACCGTTCCCGTCTCCATTGCATCACTTACTAGTATTGCTTTGTTTATGTCTTTCGTAAACACGCATCCCTGAAGGCCGAAATTGCTAGCATTACAATGAAGAATTCCTTCTTCAACAGAATTTATTCTTATTACAGGCAAAACTGGTCCAAATGGTTCTTCCCTTGCTATCCTCATATCGGGCCGAACATTATCCATCAAAAGTGGCCATATGAGATTTCCTTCCCTTTTGTATTCTTGACAGAATGTTGCTCCTTTCTTTTTAGCATCCATTACCAGTTCTTCAATAAAGTTAGCAGAGGACTCTGTGACAACCGGTGTGATATCGCAGTCATCCTCGGGAGGTCCAACGGTTAATTTTATCACTTTGTCATTTATTTTCTTTACAAGTGTGTCTGCAACCGATTTCATGACTAAAGCCACCTTTACTGCCGTGCATCTTTGACCGCTGACAGAGATTATTTTTTCAAAGCATTTGTATGAGTCAGTTCCCATCAATAAAGTTTTGGAATCAAGAAAACGTAAAAGTTTTGTGCAGAACTATAAGTCTGCGAGTCCAAATGACACAACACTCGAGGAAATCATTAATAATAACGGTACGATATATGCGCGCTATTGTGATTACCTGTAGGAGAACCCTCCTTTCACAATGTTAGCAGCTACCAAATCCAAGTCAGCGTCTTCAAGAACAATGCAAGCATCTTTTCCACCCAGCTCCATTTGAAGAGGAATCATTGCAGACTTTTTCGATATCGCTATTCCAGTGTCACCACCCGTGAAACTGAGAATAAATGCGAATTAGATAAAAAAAACTCTAGTTGCAATAATGATAAAACAGCTCTCTAATACTGTCCTTAGGCATGTCTTATGGTTCTCACTTTAGCCTGGAATGCATCAAAATTACTAATAGAAGACACACTTAGAGATATTTTGTAAACTCGATACATTCAAAGACTATAGTGACACCGGCTCACAAAGTGGACGATAAAGATATCCGAAGAAGTGAATATTACCTTATGCAACTAACATCCGGATGCATTGTAAGAAAGTCACCGATCTCAGAACCCTTTCCTGTCACACAACTAATAAGACCTTTAGGGAAACCAGCCAAATGAAAGCAATGAACCATATGTAGTGCAGCAACAGCACCCTATTCAAAATGGTGAAATATATCAGAAATATTTGTCCACAACTATAATTATTAATATGTATATGTGTTATGAACTATGAAACACGGACACCCCGAACACAACCACGACACTGACATGGCAACACTAGTAATAATTTGAAAAAAATAATAAATTAAACTTAATCACAAGTGTGGTGCAGGTGTTTGACACCAAGACGGACACGCCATTTTTCAGAGGTGTCAGTGCTACATAGGTTATGAATAGTTGTATACCTGGGTTGGAGGTTTAAGAACAATGGAGTTTCCTGAAATAAGAGCTGGAGCAATCTTTGAAACAGCTAGATTGACAGGATAGTTAAAAGGTGGAATAGCCAAAACAACTCCAAGTGGAATCTGCACACAAACCTTTCTTGTGAGGAAAATTTAAACTAAAACTTATGAAACACGGACTCTGACACGAACACCAGACATGACGCCGACACTGGCACGTCAATACCGATAATAATTTGAAAAAATGAATAAATTAAACGTAATCGCAAGTGTCGGACATGGACACGGACACGCATTTTTCCAGAGTTGTCTGTGCTACATAGATTAACACTTGCTTAGTTTAGTTACATGACTATATAAAAAGTATGAATGACTCACTCACCTTTGAAGTGAGACAATATTTGGTTCTTTCATTTCCAGGAAAACTATCAGAAACCAGAAATTTTCCTTCACCGAGAAATCTCACCCCTTCCTCAGCACAATATGACACCAAATCCCCTGATCTAACAACCTACATATATCAAAGTCATAGCATTGACATGTTACACTTATCATCCGTCTTAAGTTTTTGGAGGCTCTATATAGACAAAACAATTAGAGGCCTTATTTAATCACTGTTTAACCATGACAAATATTTTGAGGCCCTATTTAGCTATGATTCAACCGAGACAAGTTTTATGCTCTGTGCGGTAGTCCGCCTTGCACACCATCAAAGATGGTCCTGCTTATATGGGCCATTGATAAGAAAACTGTGCAATTGAAGACTCAAGCGACCAAAAGATTCAAGTTGTTGTACATACTTCAGTGACAGCATCTTTGGCTGGTTTTGCAATCTCCTTAACAAGACACTCAGCAATAGGTGCTTTGTGTTCCTTCAGTATTGCAGCAGCCTTGTGAAGCAACTCGGCTCTTTTCCAAAGTGGAGTCTTAGCCCATAATTTTTGTGCAACTTTTGCTGATTCTATGGCCTTGTTAACCTCTTCCTGCGTACAGGCTGTTTCCCATTTGCATTAAAATGAATCAATCTTCTAAATGGTTACAAATATTTAACACCTTTGAAAACAAAAAATCAACAATATAATATTGTTGTGTACCTTGGACCTTGAAATGGATTTTTCTAGAGGTTGGATTGATGATAGGAACAAATTTCCCAGAGGAGGATTTGTTCCACTGGCCATCTGAGTAGTAGTTGAAAACATCACCACCTATAATCTCTGCAAATGTGCCACTTCCTGCCATTTGTTTTATAAGGGATTATTTGATCATACACTTTGAACTTTATAGATAGATGATATATATCATAGCGTGTGTCCAGAACTATATAGATACACATGGTTTCATATTACTGTGTTGATTTAGAACCATAGTTTTTGATTTGTTTGTAAATGTATGTGTTATGTGACAAGTTTAGAAATCTGTGTTCTATTATACCGGATCATCATTGACTTGTTAAAAAACTTTTCTATTTTTAGGTACTAGAAAACAAATTTTGTCTTCATTTTCCTTTTTATATGTATTAGTTAATGAAGTATATATAAAAAGTAGGGTAGAATGGAAAATAATCTAGAGAAAGAGGGTTTTTTTTTTAAAATAAAATTTTTGTAACATTAAATTTATACTTTAACAAACAAAATTCCAAGAGTTGGTCAAACCTTGTGGTTTGACACATGAAATGAGGCTAGGTGCTGTCTGCCAACAATACTACCACATACAACATCCCCAACAACAATCTAGAGTCCAATTTCTACCATAAACAACTTACATTAGGACTTCTCCCTCAATCTTCAACTTCTTAACACCCCAACAACAATTTTCGTTTTCACTCCAACTGTTATCTATGAAGCACAGACACAACGCTGACATTGGCACGTCGACACTGATAATAATTTTAAAAAATTGATTAATTAAAATGAAATTACAAGTGTCAGTGTCATGTCAGTGTCTGATACGGATACGGACACAGACACGTCTTTTTCTAGAAGTGTCAGTGCTACAGAAATTGTTATTCGATCGACACTATCATCAAACGATATCTAAGAGTAATCAGATCCTGACCAAATACATAAAAACTCAAAAATAGCACAAGGAGGTCATATAGTTAATAATTACAAGTGATTTTGGTCTTTTGTTACTAACATTAAATATTAAACCCAATATAACTCAACTTACTAATGAAACGCCTAATAGTAATCAAAATAACAACCCAATAAAATTAAATTTTAGAAGTAATCAAAATTAAGCTGATGCACCTGGCATCTTCACATCTGAATTCTCCCACATCAAAATTATATTGATCATCATTTGATCTAAACTCTTGTCCTTTTACCTACAATACGATGTAGAAGAAGATGTTTCCAAATATATAACAAATAATTTAATTAGGTGATTTTTTTTAACAAAGTGGCCAATAAAAGAGAGAGAGAAAAAACAGAGATGAATTAAAATGATAAGAAGAAAATAAAGATGGCAAATAAATCAAGAAAATTTGTCAGAATAATAAGAATGTCATTGTTTAGATTTAATTAGAATTTCCCCCAAAAAACCAGAGTCATTGTTCACTCATTATTCTCATTAAGAAAATTTTCAATTTATTTCAAATTAAGTCACAAATGTCTATTTATAACAAGATATTTACTAAATGACACCACTCTCTACTCTAACCCCATATCATATTACATCATATTTTTCTAAAATAAACATAAGTAAATTACCTTCACTTACACATAACATCAAATAAATCTAAATTAAAACTATAACAATTACAAATTAAAACAAACTAAAAACTATTACAAACCAAATTAAAATAAAACAAAACTCATCTTATTTATTTAAAATATGAATTCTCTTCTTGATGGATTCTTTTCAACCTCTAACTCAGTTTTCATTAGGCACAGCTAGAAGAAGTCTAGATTTGCGTCTTGTAAATCTTGTTGTCTCACTAGCCCCATGTTGCATCACCAACATATATAGATATTAACTTCCATTCCTTCAAGATGCTGCTTATTTGACTAAATTTTTCTTCAAGAAACAAACAAATGTAGAGAACATTAACGAGATTATAGTGGCTATTTCATAATTCTTGGATATGCCATACTCTAAATATACCTGCAATATTTAATTCAAATAAGTACATTTAGTATGTTAGGCAAGGTAATGTGAAAATGAATTCAAAATAGAGACATCACAGAACCAACTTAGTGAAAAGTAGCAAATGAATGACACAAATTATCTTACATGAATAAGTGTTTATCCAAAATGCAAATTTTTCCTGATGACTAAGACCCTTGAAATTCAGAGACAAGTTTCCCATGTAGCAACCTGAGTATGCTAGATTAGGTAGACTCTCATAGTATCAACCAACAGTTAATAACCTTTCACAACTTCAATCTACAGATCAGAAACACTGTGTTTATTATCCAAGGGGAGATCAAATGGCGAGGCTTTAATCTCACAAACTATTATACGCACCAATGTCTCTTGTTTCGGATACTGATCAGATATACCATATGGATTGCGAAACTGGTCATTTTCTTTGCTGCATAACTCATCTAGGTACTCATTGCCATTAATTTAATTTGTCATGTGCAGGAATATACTGCTATGGACCTATGGTTCAAACTTCTGTTTAACAATTGCGTTTGTACCAGACTACCAGTTTAATATTCAACCTATTTGTCTTAAGTACATTGATAGACGAGTGCTGTCTCTGCATGTATTTGAAATGAGTAGACACGCCTGCTCTTTTAGAAAAACAAATTCATATATGATGAATGAACATGTCATATGCATGAAGTGCATTTTCTTCCACATATTATGAATGATAGCCTCAATTCAATCATCCATTGAGTGGGTAACTCTTGACGAACGCACACGCCGAAAATCATTGTCTCAAGATAGTAAAGTTGCTGTGCTTTAACATCAAAGTGATAGATAAATTGGTTTGCACTCATCTTCCATGTGACTAGTGAGATATGAAAGGCACTTATTAATCACCTCTACATGATAGTTTGAATTATCTTCAACAAAGAAAGGCACGATCTTCTGGTTAATCTCAATCCAACTGCACCCCGGGTTCTTCTTTAATCCAAGCTCTTTCATCTTTGATCTTATCGTCCGTACCTCATCCCATTTACCAAAAGAAGCGTAGATATTCGATAAGATAATATATGTTGATGAATCATCAGGATCCTTGTCAATAAGTTTTTCTGCAATTTCAACCCCTAAGTCAAGATTTCCGTGTAAACGGCATGCAGAAAATAAGGTGCTTAACAGCTGAACGTCATCCCTGATTTCAGGGTTTCTTTGTAGAATCTCATATGCTTCGTGCAATCTTCCAGCACGTCCAAGAAGAGCAATCAAGCATGAATAATGTTCAACTCTAGCCGCGATACCATAAACACTGATCATTTCATTGAAATGATACAATCCATCATCAACCAATCCAGCATGGCTACACGCAGACAATATGGCAAGAAAAGTAACTCTATCAGGTTTTACATTTGACAGCAGCATTTTAGCAAAAAGCTCTAAAGCTTCATAGACCCGACCATGAGACCCGTAAGCGGTAATCATGGAAGTCCAGGAGACCAGATCTCTTTCTGGCAAATATTTGAAAACACCAAATGCTTCATCTACAGCACCACACTTTGCATACATCTCAAGAAGAGCCCCCATAACCACTTCATTGTTTCCCAAATTTCTCTCAACAATCAAATTGTGGATCTCTCTACCCTTTTCTAGTGCTGCTAGTTGGGAACAAGCTGCTAAAACACTGGTGAAAGTAATAGCATCTGGTTCAACAGATGATTGTCTCATTTCACTGAAGAGGTTAAGTGCTTCAAAAAGTTTCCCTTCAGTTACATATCCAGAAATCATAACATTCCAAGAAACTGGCGTTGTCTTCGGTATCAATTTAAAGATGTTTTCAGCTGACTCAACCTTTCCACATTTGAAATATAGATCCATGAGTGAGCTGTTAATAAAAATATCAGGTTGTATTCTGTTGCGTATTATATATCCATGAACAAACTTTCCCTCTAGTAGTTGCACTGATCGTGAACAAGCCATTAATATACTGCTCAAAGTAGTCAAAGTTGGTTTGACTCCTTCATTGTACATTCTCTTAAAAAGTTGAACGCATGAAAAGCAGTCGCCTTTAAAACCATATCCTGTAATCATGGAATTCCAAGCAACAACAGACTTTTTAGGCATTTGCTCAAAAACTTCTATAGCCATTTCTAAGTGACCGCATTTTCCATACATGTCAACAAGGGCAGAGCTAACAAAAGAATCCAGCCGAAACCCACTATTAATCAACTCCTTATGAATTTCCCTCCCTCTCTCGAAATCAAAAAGCCTAGCACAAGACGAAATAGCAGTTGTGATTGTAACTGAATCCGGCTCAAATCCATATCTTCTCATCATGCCAAAGTATCTCAGAGCTTCTTCAAATTTCCCGCTTTGATAATAACAAGAAATCACCGTATTCCAGCACGCCACATCCTTATCAGGCATTTCATCAAACAGCTGTATAGCATACTCAAACGAATTGCATTTAGCATACATACTCACAAGAGAACTTCCAACTACAATATCCACCATTAAACCAGTTTTTATCAAACAAGTATGTACCATTTGTCCCAACACAACTCTACAAAGCCCGCCGCAGGCTTTAAGAACACTCGGATAAGTATAGCTATCAGGTTTCAGATAAGGATAACACATCAACTTATCAAAAAGTCCCAAGGCTTCCACATACATGTAATTCTTAGTGTAACCTGCCATAAGGCCATTCCATAAAGATATCTCACAAGGGTTTTCAACGGCGTCGAAAACACGCTGCGCATAATCAAGCAAATGGCAAGAAACATATAAGTTAATCAAGTTCTTGCTTACAAATATATCATTCTGCAAACCAAAAGTTACAACTTTGTGATGGATGAGCTTGCCTTGCTTCAGTGACTTGGAATTCACACAAGCCCTTAAAAGGGGTATTAGTTTTCTTGTGTCCATTCAACTACACAACAAAAGAAACAATAAATAAAGAAATGTATAAGGGTGAAAGAACACACTAAAATGGAGTACAACAAGTGTAGACAAAGAAAGCACAACAACTGCTTAAAGATTGAACCTTTAAGAACTGCAAAATCATGTTCATTTCAGTGTGATAGAAGATTGATTCATCCTTGTACTTTTTCTGAATTTTGATGTTTTAGTCAGAAAATTGGATGGTATTGTGAAAGGGTTGATTTGGTTTGGTTTGTATTGTGAAAATTTGATTGGTGGTGTTTGAGAGTGTATAAGTATAACAATAGAAGAATGGATGTGATTGTAGATTTTCTGGTCACCGGCGTTTACTTAGGTTTCCGCCTTGAGCGGCGGGTGCAATTCGTTTCCGTATTATTTTTTTATTGGATTTATTTTGGGGGACTATTTTTATTGGTTTTTTTTAAGAAACAAGAAAGGAATTCTAACCACTATGAAAATTTCAAAATGATCTTATGATTTGTGAGATATATTTTCCAACGAATCATTTGTATGACTCATTTGTATATGTGAATGACTCATTAAATCAGTGTCATCTCATTTTAAAACAAATGTTATTTTTGAAGGAGATGTATCTCGTTCATATTCATTTAGTTTATTATTTATTGAGCTCTAGTAGAGTTTCTTAAGATATATTTTTGGAGTTTTCAAGAGTTCACTAAATTAAACAAGATTGAAAGAGAATTAAATAAATAAAATTTAAACAGAGTATTATCCATAGTTATAGATTTAGTCGAGATTGGAACGGAATTTCATTCTATTCTGAGAGGTTTCGGAAATACATATCTGATTTAGGATAACAAGGTGGTACCGTAGATGCATTTCTGGAATATTTTCTGGTACAAAATAGAATATCAGATGTTCATATTTGTCTACAACTACTATAAGTATGGTCTCTTGTCTCATGTTTCATACCAAAATATATTACACCAGAATAAACATCAATTGACATGTCGCATATGTCTACTTCAACGGCGTGAAGCCCTCAATTGAATTTAAGCCCAATGAGTACACCCCTATAACATATATGAATACATATTGCAGGATCTCCTGCCTTACAAAGACAATCAGAAAATTGTGAAGCTTGAGTATCATTCACCAATGATTGACAATGAATGTAAGAATGAGTTCAACAACTTTGAGTTGAAGACGAGTGCAGGTGAACGAGCTATGTGGAATACTTTTCTGTTTAGAAACAATAGTTTCGATCAAGGTGAATGCGACGATTTCGAGATCGGACGAATATATTATGAAGATTGATCTGGACTGCTGATCAGAATCTGGAGTGGGCCGAGAAGATGACGCTTGCCAGTCTGAATTTGTGGAGAGGAGGGGGTGTACCTGCAAGGCACTCTGACGCTCAAGTAAAAAAGAATGCAAAGAGTTACAAGAAGGTTTATAGAAGGTAGTTTGTTGTTGAGATTTGTTACTCTAATGAATGGTAGCTTTGTCATTATGGAAGGTAGTTTGTTGTTGAGATTTGTTACTCCAATGAATGGTAGCCTTGTCATTATGGAAGGTAGTTTGTTGTCAAGATTTGTTACTCCAATGAATGATAGCCTTGTCATTATGGAAGGTAGTTTGTTGCTGAGATTTGTTACTCCAATGAATTGTAGCCTTGTCATTATGGAAGGTAGTTTGTTGTTGAAATCTTTTTCCGATGAATGGTAGCCTTATCATTATGGAAGGTAGTTCGTCATTGAGATTCTATTACTCTGAAGAAGTTCATTTGTTCCCGGTCGTGAGTAATGGTGTTGATTATCATTACCACCTTGATATTGGTATTTGATGGTATTATCTTACCACTTCTTTCCCCGGTGGGTCGACGTTACCTTTTTGCTATCTCCTCGGTGAGTGGATAGTTTGCAGCCATCTGTCGATCACTTTTATCCTTTACTTTTTCTCCTCAATCTTTGAGTTGATGATACTTTATCTCCTGTTTGGGCTTTACCCCGATAGAGTTGGGTCTCTGATTCACCAGTGATTTATTTTCCTGGTCGGGTCTTCCTTTTGATCCTGTTTTATTTGCTACATCCTTAGTGGGGTTTTGCGTCCTTTTTAGATTTGTTCATTTGCATTCACAATCATAAGCATTACATGGCATCTTAGAGCCAAAAATAGGGCTTGTTTTATATTTAATTATCTTCAATCACGTTGACACGAAGATTTTTAACCTTCGCATCTCCGGATAGAAGACACTTAAATAAGGGCAGCTGTTGTACCCCAATTTTTGCCCTTAAGATTCCTCTATCATATCATATCAACTCAATCACAACAAGATCACACACTAGGATTTGGCTCTTCTCCTTATCTTTAGATTTGCCCATGGGGAATCACCAAGCACCTTGATTTGTATCTTGTTGTCATCTATGTTTTGATTAACTTTTAACTAATAAATACAATGTATGTTTTCCCTAATTGTTGATATCATAGGTGAAAGCACAACACATTCTAGAAAGTTGATCCATAGGTTCATGAGTTTATTTCCATGCATTTTCCAACAAAGCTTCATTGAGATTAAAGCTTTATTATTGAAGATATTTTTGAAGTAATATCATGACAAAGTCTATTATGATTCATCATGCCTAAAGTTGTCAAAAATAGTTCAAAGGTACAAGGGGTGATTGAAGAAGTTTGACCTAATTGGACAAGTTCTTGATTCATTGATCACAAGTTCATATTTCCCTCAATTCTAAATATTTGGAAGTGGTTATGGTTATTATGGTTCTTCATTATCATCCTGAACAACTTCTATTTATATGACAAAAGTATTTGTGCAAGAAAGTTGATCAAAACTGTAAAAGGATTTATAAGGTATCTTGTTGCTCTATGAGCTAAGGTTTTGAACTTCAAAGGGGTATATCTGGATCATCTTTTGGTATTTTTGAGTGATTCCAAAGATGTCCTTCTCTTCAAATGGTTATCAACAAATCACTTCAAAAGTTTCAAGGAAATTTTGTGTGGAAGGTACCTAATGATGAAGAAAGATTACAAGTCTTCTAGATGAATCATCAAATTCCCTTATATGACTTCAAAAGATCATAACTTAGTCAGTTCTTATCTCCTTGAGCCCATTCTTTTTTCCATAATTATCTTAAAGATATGGACTTCAACTCTTCTTTTAAGTTCAAAGTGTGAAAATGGATGGAAGATGCCCTGAGGATGAAAAAGATTATAGGTCATTTCATGAATTTTTGCCAACTTCAACAAGTCATAACTCTCTCAATTTTTGGAGTTTTTAAATGGTTCAAGCCTCAAAATTCCATTCAAGAGATCTACATTCCACCTTTTTTGGTCAAGAGCAAATTTCAAGAGGAAGGCCGCGTTTGGATGCAAGACATCATAAGTCATTTTTGATGAAAAAACCTTAGAAATTCTCTAAGTATAGAAAGTCAACCTCTTTTTCTCAACTTTGACTCATTACAATTTCTAGCTCAAGTGTCCATTTGATTCCATTCTTTGCACATTGTAAAGCTTGTGATCTCATCTTTCTAAAGCTTCAAGAATCATGTCCTAAAACTCCTTGAGCTAAGAATGCCATTGATTTGAACTTGGTAACTTGAAACTGAAGTTTCTTCAAAAATCAGAATTTGAAATCCTTGATTTAGCTTCTAAACACATTTTTTCTGCGCGCGTTTGCTTCATAACATGTTTAGTGAACCTTCAAAGTGGATTAGAGCCTTAAAACGCAAGGTTTGGATGAGTTTTGATCAAATTAGAAATCACTTTTTTCTTATTTGCAACTTCACAAGATTTCCCTCCAAACTTCATTATTTCACACGCTTAAGCATTCAATCAGCTTTCCTATAAATAGAGGGGTCAAACCTCATTCATTTTCTCAAGCTTAGAGAGCCAGAATCACCCTGCCAAAACTTCCTCTTGAACTTAATTTTCTGCAACTTCGAATTTGCTCTTACAACCTTTCTCAATCATTTTTCTTTGTCAATTCACTTTCCTTGAATCTCGCTGAAGCTAACAGAAGAAGAATTAAGCTCTAAGACTTCCTAAATCGTGCTAGCCAAGTCCAGTTTCAGAGATCTGCAAGTTAACTCCAATAGGTAGATTCCTTCACTAATTCTCTCAAACTTTGATACTGTTATGAAGCTCTCATCATCCTAATTCTAGTCGCAACATTTATTTTCAAATGGAAGTACATTTTGGCCATGAAATTTCAAATCCCTTTTCAGAACTTCTTTTTCAAAAACGAATGAGCTACGGTTTATATAAATTTTTCGCGAAGGTACCATTAGAATCGTCTTGAAGAGGCGAAGAGAATGGTACCGGTCTCGTGTCCTAATTTTACAGTTTCCGGAACCTGCAGATTCGTTGGCTGGAGGTTGAAGATGACCAATATGTCATCTATCAACCGATAAAGGCGTGCCACGCATTTTTTCAAATCTGATTTAAATAATTGATTTTATGCTTTATTCACTAATGTCCATGATATGCACAGCGCACCAGATCACTTGGATTTGATTACTAACTCATTTGACATTGATCCAATGGTCTACATCTTTTTGGTTTTTATTTTATTTTCTGATTTTATATTTTTATTTGTTTTAAACTTCAAAAGTTTATAGAAAATTCATTTTAACTTCAAAAAATCTGGAAAAAATTATGAAAAACACTTTTGATTTTTCTCTTTCTGATTTTTATTTTTTCACAATTTTATTTTGTATTTTGATATTTTTTGTAATTTTTCATTTTATTTGAATTGTTTTAAATGTTTAAAAATACTTTTCTTCATTTTTAAATTCTAAAAAAATTAGGGAAGGATCCAATGACCTTTTGACAAATATTGGTGACCTCATTTTATTTTTATTTCTAATTTTACAATTTTTCATCATTTTTTGTTTATTTTGCCTATTTCTTTTAATTTTAAAAATATTTTCTGACTTTAAAAAATTACCAAATATTTTATATAAATATTTGAGCTCGTTTATGATTTTTCTATGGACTTGTTTAATTTTTCTTAATTGTTTTGAATATAATTGTTATTTTCCCCTTTTATTTCAATTTTAAAATCTTTTTAAAATCTTTTTCTTTACTTTAAATACAACTATATTTTTGTGTATACATTCTGGCTAATCTTGGACCATGAAATTTTGATCATGAACTTTATTAACATCATTGGATCCATGGTATTGAGTCTACTCCATAAAAATGGATGAATGATTTTAATAATAGTTTGATTAAATTTTTGGTTCAAATGTGGTTTATTCCTTACCATATCCCTCTTCACCTTATCCCATTCTTATTATACTAAATGTTATTGGAGAATAATTTTCATATCATTTCTCAAAGCATATGGTACATAGATTGCTATTGGCCGACCTAAAAATAGGTGTGACTTCTGTATAACTCCACTTACGATTGCTTAACATAACGCTAAATTTTGTCTCGATTCGAGAAATGATCATTCGTGGTCCAAACTTATGATTGTAAGCACAAGTATATTG